AGGTCACTGATTATAGCAATGATTTCAAGCATGAAGGAAAAAGTTTATAATACTATTTTACAAAGAATTATTAGCTTGGCATATTTACCAGGTGAGAAAATATCGGAGAAAAATTTAAGTGAAGAATTAAATATCGGTAGGACACCAATCAGAGAAGCAATACTGCAATTAAGAGAAGAGGGATTAATTAAATCGGTCCCGCAGTCCGGTACATATATTTCGAAAATTAATTTACAAAAGGCGAAAGATGCACGATTTTTGCGGGAAAGTGTTGAGACCAAAATTATCCAAGAATCTATTGCTAAGCTCAATGAATATGATCTAATGGTTTTACAGCAAATTATTGACAGGCAGAAGTTAGAAGTAAGAACGACTCATGATGATATGAGATTTTTCGAATTAGATGAGCAATTTCATCATTACTTTTATAAGGCAACGGGAAGAGACCAGGTGTGGCGCTGGTTGCAAATGAGTAATATGCAGCTAAATCGTTTTCGGGTATTGCGTCTTCGCAGCAAGAGCTTATCTTGGGAAACTTTAGTTGATGAGCATGAAGAACTTCTTGAGGCGGTAACTGAAAAGAAGACTAGCAAAGCCACTAAGCTTATTCCAGTCATTTGCATCGGATGTTGACTGAGGAGCCGACTTTTACGCCAGGATTACGCTGATTATTTTGAATAATTTTTAGTAAAATAGCATTTTTAAAAGACTGATTTATGATTTTAAGTCATAAGTCAGCCTTTTTTATTCATTATTTTGATAATTTAATTACACCGCAGCCATAAAATAAAAAAATTAGAAACTGGTAAACATTACTGACACTAGGAGTGATACTAAATAAAGCAAACAAAAAATAATTTTTGTGTTGACAGTTAAATTCTTAAGACATATGATGAAACCGATTACAGATATACTAATATATCATAGATGGAACTGAGATTTAAGTCGCATGTGTTAACAACCGTTTTAGTTTTGACCACTGTTTACTTTACTTCTCAAGGACAAAGCAGCTACAAAAAAGTTTAGTTAACTCTTTTTTGCATAGT